CTCTTTACAATACATCCCCTTTCCCTAGTGAACTCCTACACACCCTTCAAGACCTCACCCACACATCACCATTTTCTCACCTCCTGGCAGGTTTCTAGAAGGGTGGGAAGGGGGATCATAGCCTCGTCTTTGGGCAGGTGGGTCAAATGGCCAGTCCCAAGTGGGAGGGGAAGTATGCTCTGGTTCTAGGGCCAGGCTGCCCAGGACCTCTACTTGTGCTACTGCTGAGGCCTGAGCACAAATCTGTGTCTGCTGAGCAAGGGTCTCTCAGTTTCAACTGAGTTCTTGCCATCTACCTTCCAGGCTGGGCAAGAACTAGATAGCACCCATCAAATGGCAGACTCTTAGCCAGTATCACTCACACTAGCTGAGACAATGGACAACAGACAGGAAGGGGAAAACAGGAGGGAGGCTGGAGAGAGCTAGAAGCTGACCTAGAAGTAGAGCAACAGGCTCCTTCTGCCTTGCACAGTGTGGGGAGAAGCCTGGTCCAGGCTGGGAGGCCTACCTGCAGGATGTCTCTCGGAAGGAGATGTTCACATCCCAGTGGGTGTGGACTCTGCAGGTAGAGGAGCAGAGAGTCAGTGTGGGCTCCCGTGACCCCCACACCCCAGCCTCCAGGACTCAGCACTGGACAGCAGGGTGTGTGTGGACCTCTCTCCCAGGGTAGTGAACAAGGGACAGCTGCATGTGCCAGCCTGGTACCAGCTCAGCCTACTGGTGGCTCCCACCAGGACAGACCCATAGGCTGGAGCCAGTTCCTGGCCTCACCTGACAGATGAATAGGGGGCAGAGCTGAGACTTCTGCCTCTCTCCTTATTACAGTGTGCTCAGGAGACCCCATCTCATGCTGGGGCTAAGGCTTCCTTTACATTATTCATTCCACTGAAACCAAATTCCTAGTTGCCAGGGCTGCTCTCACTGGACTGGGACCAGGTCAGGGTGCAAACCCCACAGCTGCCACTGGCTCAGCCGGTTGGAGTGTCAGCTCAGGTGGGTGCAGGCCAGGTCCCTGCGTCCAGCCTGCCTCCAAGTGGCCACCACACAGCAGAGGCAGCAGAGGGCAGCTCACACCCTCCACCCCAAAGCAGTATCCCTGAAAAGACCCTAGGACTGCCAGCCATGCAGTGTGGTAGTTAAGGCACTGGAGCTCACATGGTTGACTATGTGGTTCGAGTCCCAGAGCAGCTTCAAGGCCATGCTAGGCTCGTGTGTGTACATGCCCAAAATCCTGAGAGGAAGGTGAAGTCACCCCCAGGGTGATTTCTCACTTTCTTGTGTGCTCTCTCTAGTGAGTGCACATGCTCTGTAGTGAAAACAAAACAAAACAAAACACTAGGACTGAAGGCGGTGGAAAGCCAGTGGACACCACTGCCTCAGCAAGTCCCCATCCTGATGCCCTTACTGCATTAGAGGCGTGCACCCTGCCGGCCCTAATGCTGAATAGGAGTACCTTCTCTTCATGACACGGATGTGGGGGTCACCCTCCTGCTTCAAGCCCGGTCGCCGCCCACTGGCCGGGCCACTCCCATCACTGTCACCATCACTGGCAGAGAAGCTGGGTGTCCGCTCTTTCTTCAGGACTCGAGCGGGTGGCAGTGCAACTGTCCGCTTGTCAGCCAGCCGGCCCCGGTTCTGGGTGGGGTGTGAGGAGATGAAGGTTAGGCTGAACCAGGCCCACAGATCCCTCCATCTCTGCTTTGGCCTTGCACCCCTGGCCTGCCCCAGCCCTTAGAGCTACCAGCCATCGCTTCTCCCACCCCTGACTATGGTGGAGCAGACCCTCCAGTCTCTAGGATAGGAGGTTCCACAACTGGTCAGAGACTGAGAGGAGTCAAATGACAGGGCCTCAGTTAGGGACCCTCCACACACCGGCCAGCTGGGCTCAGCCCTTACCTGCTCCACCCAATCCTGGTCAGATGAAAACACAGGCCCTGTTACTGCGTGCCTAGCTCACAAGGGCAGTGCCAGTGGGCCTAGCCACACTCTAAAGGCCTCCATGTGTGGCATGCGTGTGTGGGACCATGTGTACAGGGGTTCCTCTTCACTCCTTGCTCCCTTCCTGGGTCCCCATGTCTCCTGGGATTGGTGTGTGCAGTTAGAGCCCAGGCTCCATTCAACATGCAGAGACTTCTGTGTGTGTGTGTCTGCCTGGTCACCCCACTCCAAACTGACTGACGCCAGCATTGACAAGCAAAGTTCCTTTTCTGCTCTGGTAGCACCATGCAGCACCAGCTCAGGTACAGTCTGAAGCCTGGGGCCTGAATGATGGAACTGGCGACAGGTGGAGGCTGCTGAGCTCTTGCAAACTTTAGGCCTGGAGTTCACAGGTCACCTGATAAGAAGCCCTGATCTGTCCAGAAGCATGGTCCCACGGGCTCCGATGGCCAGATTTTCACAAGGCCAGTTTCTCCCTCTCCCCTGAAACCACAGGTAGTGCTGTGGGTACCTGAAGCTGGGAGAGCAGAGCGCAGACATGTATGGCAGTGCTCACACACACCATAGTGTCCTTAGAGTTCACGTACTCCCCACACACCCACACCAGTGCACACATGTTCCTCACTGCACACATGGCGTGTTCAGTGCATGGGCCCAGCCATGGGAATTGCTTGGCTCTTCCAGTGTCTTTAGGTCCCACTACCTCCAAGGGAAAGATGTTATTGATTATTTTTCAGTGGGCAGGAAACTTTTATTTAATAACAGGAGGTTGGCTCCGTGAGGCAGAGGCTTTGAGCATAAGCTTATCTAAATGTCTCTGTTCAGTTGCCCTGGACTTCCTTGGACCCTCCCTCTGGTTGCTAGAATGAGTCCTCACCAAACCCATGTGCTTGAGGAAGATCTCAAGGAGGCTCCTAGCCTCCAAATCCCCTACACTGCTGTGGCCCAGGACCCAGAGGTCAGCTGCTGTGGCCACTACCCTGCCCTTCAGGGAGGGAAAAGGTGCTTCTCCGTAGACCACCATCAACTGCAGGCACACAGGCCCAACCTCAGCTAGGTTTGGGGAGTGGCCTCTTCCCAAGGATCTGGGAACTTAAGTAACCCCTTGTCTGAGTCAAAGTGCCTCCTTCAGCATCTAGGAGCCATGGCCCTCCCCCTGCCACACGAGGGGTCCACTGAGGCCTGCCCCTGGACACCTTTCATTTTCCTCTCTGCAAACTCACTTAGTAGGAGAAGCCCATCAGTAGCGGGTGGAGTGGGGTGAGGTGATGGGGCCTGAGGTCAGCCTGCAAGATGAGGGGGTCCCTTCTGTGGCTCTTTCTAAGGCTCTGGCCTGGCCTTGACCCTGCATGGCCATGTTGCAGGTGTGGGCACCCCTCTGTATCCCCATTCCTCTCTGTATCAGCCAGGGGCTTTGGGGGGACATGTTCAATCACCCTACTTGTTCGGAGTGTACTTTGCTAGGAGGTCTTGCTTGGCTCTGCCCTTCTCCAGCCTGTTGTAACCCAAGCATTAGGACCTGGGGAGGCTCTGACTCCTTCTCCTCTTCTAAGATTATCTTGAGAAGAAAAGGAAATGCATTTCTCTCTGCTTCTCATCTGTGGGACAGGGAAGAGGGGGAAGTGAGGGCTATAACATTGCCACTTGGCGGGAAGCCAGAACCGGCTGGCTGGGAAGAGAGCCCAGCTGTGACGCACAGAGCCTGGGCATGGGGACACACCCTAAGGGCACCCAGGGAGGGCAGGTCTGGGTGGCTCCTGGGGGCGGTCCTGTGAGCTGAGGACCAGAAGGATGGCTGCCCTGGCCCTGCCTCTGCCCAAGGACAGGGAACATACGCTTCTCCTCACACACAGATCTCAGATCTCAGCCAGCTCACCCCTGCTCAAGGTCCCTCCTTGGATGGCCAAGCTGGACACTCCAGAGCCACACGCACACCCACATTCTGCCTTGAAGTATCTGTGACCACAAAGTGTGCACAACCAGGCCATGGGTGGTGAAGAGAAAGGTGGGGTGAGCTCAGCCCCTTGTTTCAGGCAGGTAGGGTGACAGTGAGTGGGAGGCAGGCTGTCTCCGCCCAAGTGTCTGGGGTGCTCTGTGCACAGGCATGCCTGTGTGTGTGTGCACCATCAACTCGTGTTGAGCTTGAATGAGGCTGTTGGTCAGACCAGGAGTGGGGTAGGCACACAGGTGAGGCACAACTGTACCCCGTCCCCTGCCCAACACGATGTATCAGCTCTTGTCTACCTCCATTCAAGGTGTGTCTGTGGCTTCCGAGTAGCTCAGGCTACTCCCTTCAGGGCCCACGAAGAGCCCGGGACATCCCCTTCCCACCTGACCTAGGTTCCAAGGAAACAAGTCCGAGAGCAGGCCAGGTCATCTCAGGCCCACGTTGTGTCTGCCTCTCCTACCCCTTTCTGTAAGAGGCAACTGCTGAGTGGTGCCAGGAATAGCAACCCCTTCCACCCGCAGCAGCCTTGACCCCCAACTGGCTCTCTCCCAGGAGCTCCAAACCACCTCTCTCAGGAGGTGATTTTCTTTTCAGATCAACCCTCTCACCCTGGGAGATATGCGTATTTGATCACGAAGGTGGCACCCAGCACCCTAGTTCCCCAGGCTAATCAGGACATCGACAGAGGTCTACTCTGCAATGGGCCCTCAAACCAGCCCCCAACTTCATGGGTACCAATGGCCTATGCTGCAAGGACCCTGCTCTGTGCCCCAGGCCCTTGCTGGGCAGGGCTCCAGCTCTCAACACCCAGAGACACATGCACTCACACCCAACCTGTGACGGTTCTAGTCAACACCCAGAGACACATGCACTCACACCCAGGCCTGTGACGGTCCTAAGCCAGCCACCACTGTTAGATCCCAGAACAAGCACATCTCCCAGCTAGGCTAGACCACACAGTGTCCTAAGAGCCCCCAACCCCATGAAAGGGAGGATACCTCCCTCCCCTAAGTTAAATGACACTATTTAGAGAGAAGATTCTCAAACCCTCCTGGTTGTTCCCAGGATTTGAGGAGAAAGAGCTCCCAGGCACCCAAGTGGGGGCAGATGGGATCAGCCCTACATCCTAACTCGGAGGGTGCTTCAGTGACCCAGGATTTGCACATCCCCTCCCAGCTGGAGAGCACAAAGCAAAGAAGTCCCACCTTGGTCCTTCTTAGGCTACCTCCAGCACACCCGCAGGGGTGAGGTTAGGATTCCCAGACCTACAAATCGCAGCCCCAATTGATCTCCCACATCTCACCACCGGGGAGGATATTCGACAGCCAGGACAGTCGCAGATCGGAGGGTGCACCTGCAGAATCCCCTTGGACATAAGCGTCTTCAGACTTTTCCCTGCGAAGAGGCAGGACCGGTGAGGGAACCGCAGGGCTCAAGTAGAGCCCGCGCACACAGGCAAGCTTCGGGGGTGCAGTCAGGGGCAAGGTTAGTTGCCCCTCTCGGCACGTGCATGAAATACACACAGAACCCCCCCACACACACACACCCACCTCTGTCCAACTTCCGAGCATGCTGCCCTGTC